CCCCACCCCAATTAACTCAGCGCCCAACAAGAAATCAGAAAGGATCCACTCACCCTGACAGTTCCATCTCTACCGCAAGTGGTAAGGACATCAATGGTCGGGTGAAGGTCCAAGGCATAACATGCACTCAAGTGGCCGTGGTAGTGGCGGATTGTCTGTGGAAACAAGAGACGTGAGCATTTCAATCAAGTCCAAAAACATGCCAAGAACTCTTTTCCAATGTGTACTAACATGCCGCAAGCGTGCTAATAAACGCTTTTCAAAGCTGTTATACCAGCAAGGTAGTTATATTTGTTCTGGGCAGTTAAAAGTTTTCCAAAGCATTTGGGACTAGACAGAGTACAAACTTTTTAGTAAGAGTTACAGCACTTAAAACACAGCTCATATGTACCAAAGATTAGAGGTTTAACAAGAGAGTTACATACACGAAAAAAGGAGGAGAGAACAGGAAAATAGTTGTTTGATAGGAAAGAAGGAGAAAACCAAACCAGAACACCCACACCTTGCACACAAAAAGATATGTAATCCATTCCCACATTGACAAGGTTTTTTTATAGAGTACCTCCATATTTGTGTCAAGATGAGGCCCTTTGATATAAGCTTGCAGAAAGTGTGCCTAAATTGCAACCTTGAGGGCATAAATAAGATTATCTTATCAAGAAGGGTGTGGGGACAGGCCAATATTGATAGCAACAACAACAACAACAACACAAGGACCGACAACATCAGAAAAGGTGAAGCCAAGGGACCAGCTCATCGCCTTAGGATTTTTGCAAAATAAGTTTTATGGCACTTGCAAGAGAGGTTGAATAAGTGCTGAGGATTAGAGGTGTTACTATGTTACTAGATAGTACCATACAAATAAGAGAAGGAGGAGAGATAAGGACGAAACATGTTTTGACAGGAAAGAAGGAGCGAACCATGTCAGAGCACCTGCCAACCACCCATGCATTAGGACTAGCTGCAACACCAAAATGGCATCTAAAAGAGATTTAACAGCTAGAGAAAAAAAGTATGGAATGAGCAGCCATGTATCCTACTACCTTGTTCTGTTCCAAGTCCCAGCACTTGACCATTTTATCTTCCCCGCAGGAGAAGAGATAGGGCTGTCTGGAGCTGACGGCCACACCCCGCACTGAGCTCACATGGCCGGTCAGGGTCAGCTTCAGGGTGCCAGAGGCTAAGTCCCAGATCTGGTAGACAAGACACATTATAAAGTCACAGTTTAAGGCATTATATAATAACGGCCACACAATGTCAGCAACAGATGAGGGTGAGACAAAAAACAGAAGAAAAAAAAAACCCAACACTTTATTCAACCTCTGTAGCATTATGTAAATAAAAGTTGACTTATGCTTGAGAGTAAAAAGAAACACAGTAATAATAACGGTTATATAGTGGTGGAAAAAGCAAAACAGACAAAGAAAAGCGAAAAAAAAGGGAAAGACAAGATGAACCTTCCAGTGGTGCTCCCCCCAACCACCCATACAAATGCAACACAATCAAATAAATCATCAGGATTTACGTACACAAACAAAACAGTAAATTCATACAAGCAAATCCATAACTGTAACAGCAGAACCTTGTAGATAAGAAATATGTAAGACTTGTCCTAACCAATTTTCAATTACTCGTTTTTTCATAGAGCATTGGTTTAATGCCCCACTACACAAACAGACCATTTTCAAATCAGAGAACTTTGCTACACACAAAAGCAATGACAAGAGAAGAAAGGAAGAAAGAAGACAGAGATAATACACTGAAACAAACACCACAGGAAAAATCTGAGCATTGAGGTAGACATATATATGTATGTAAATCCACAACAAGTGGGAGGTGGCATCACCTACTGGAGCCAGGTGGATCTATTTATTAACCCTTCCCCTACCCGCCCATTGGGGGATTACACAATTCAAGAGATGAGAAAATTGCACCAAAAAGTCATTGTATTTTAAATACATCAAGAACAAAAAATTTCAAATTTTACCAGATCAGGGCAATAAATGCTGAAAAGTAACAGAAGGAGCATACCACACTAGAGTGCCTACCAACCATCTATGAGAGGATGACAACATGAGAACCCCTGGGGGTAACTGGGATAAGTTATACTTATACAAGTACAAAGACCATAATATGACATTTTACCCACATTCCTGAAAAACATTTGTACTTTCTCACAACTGAAACTATTCTTTTAATGAAAAATAAAAATCCTAAACACAAATGAAATAAAAAGTGAAAATGTGTTACGAAAACAGTGTAAATATTAAACTACAAACACATGGCATCACTAAAAAAAAGCAAGAACATATTATGTCAGACCTTGATGACTCTGTCTCCTGCACCAGACACGAACCATTCATTTCCAGGTTCCACTGCCAGGCACCGCACCCAGCCAATATGACCACTGATCACCTGTTACAACAATAAATTGGAACAGATGTCTTCACAGGAATAAAAATTTCAGTTGCAATGTAATATGTCTAGGTCACACAGACCAATTCTTTTATTTTTGTTTGTTTTAATAAATGTTCTACAGCACTTGACACATAATTAGGTCACTGAAGTTCCCATGATAAGAGGTGTTACAAGAGAGTAACAATTTACAAAAACAAAACAAAAAAGAAGAAGAAATATTGGACGATAGATGTTTCATAGGAAAGAAAGAGCAAACCATACCAGAGCACCCGCAAACCACTCGCTGTAATTCTTCTTTTTTTAGCTCAGAAATCATTAAATGAAAAGATCAAATTAATTTCCTACAATACAACAAGTGCATGTATTTTTCAGCACACAGTAGACAGCATCAACTCAATTTTACCCGATAGAGTTTCCACGGAGGATGCCAGTTAGGCTTGGGCATCGTAGGAGCTTTTTTAGGCACAAGCATCTGTTGCTGTCCGATGTTCACAGCCACAAGAGCCTGGCAAAATATTGAACATCAATAGGTGATTAGGGAGTATACATCAATGGACAGTGCTGGGCAACAAGAACTGAAAACAATCTGAATACTGTCATTTAAAAAGAAACATTTGCATAGCTGCCCACCCCTCTCTGTGGCTATCCGGGACAGCCTTGCTCAAAATCAGGGACATTGACTAATTATCAGGGACACCTAGTATTTGTCAAGATAAACTTGCTGCCTTTTCAGTTTCTTTGCTTTACTTGGTCCAGAATCTGACTTAGAACTCATCGCCGAACATTTTGACGCCATCTTTTCAAACGAATGAAGAAGCCGAGGCCGCGCATGTGTAGCAGCTGACTTTGTCGAAACTGCACACCTGCCAACTCTCCCGAATTTTTCGAGAATCTCCCGAATTTTCGTCATTTTCCCAAGCAACAGAAGGCTAATTTTTCTGTTTATGAAGTATGCTTGCCAAGTTGTTATTTTCCGGGACCGTCGGTCAAAATCCGTATTTCCGAAACAACAGCGATTTTTCAAGAAAATCCGTACAAAATACGGATGGCCCGGGACAGAGCGCAGCTATGCATTTGGCACTCGCAACTGCATAAGGTCCTATGAGCGCCAAGGGGTGGGTGTCAACAGAAGAGTCTTTACAGGGAATCAGACTTAGACTGCTCACCTCTCTAGCTTCAACAGCACAAGGTCTGCTTACACTATCAAGACACCCCGGAAAAAAGCAGGTCACAAGAGAGTGACAAACATACAAAAGAAGTAGAGAAAATTACAATAGTAAGGATCAGGAAAGAAAAAGCAGCAGTTCCGCGTTGTAGATCAGGCACAGTTATGAGCGTGACATGAGTCAGCCCATTTACAATTCTACTATGCTTGAATGAGAAATGTCCCCCCTTTGGGAATGGCCTAAAGACACTACAGTCAGTGGCACTGCCGAGGGGTATTTGACATATGTACACAAATTTAACAGGAGTTTTGTTTTACAGCACTTGCAACACAAAAAGGTCATGAGAGTTATTTTATGTTCTTATCAGAGAGAACTATGAAGAGCTCTTTGACACCCTGAGAATTTGGGAGAGAAAAAATTGGGAAACAGTAAAACAATAAAAGCTATCAGCTGACCACATCAAAACAGACCAAATGGGAACCAAACCGGGTGCTTTGATCTGAAAGCAAAAAAAAAAAAAAACCACATTTCAAGTCTCTGGTACCCAACTAAAATCATTAAAAACTTTTTTTAAGTGAGAAAGCTTAATTACCATACCCTGTTATTTGGATCTGATCTGTCCATGTTGCCCCCAGCTCCAGGGCCTCCTAACCTGTTAAAAAAAAGTAACAGAAGCAAGCATTTTAATTCAATGTGCATAAAGAAATCGGAGAAAAAAAAAGTGCACATGCAAAAAAGTATCCTAATCTTCTTCCATGGAGTGTCAAGGACACGTGTTGTAGGTTCAAAGATGAAAGAAATGTAAATAGAAGTGTGATGAAAGAGCTCTAGGAGGGCTTCTTGTTGTCAGAGGAAAAAAAAACCAAAGGTGAGGAGGGGGTTTGGGGAAGGGGTAGGGGAGAGGGAAGGGGGAGGGTTTGTAAAGATGGGTTGTCTGCTTGACTCTTACAAAAACAAAAGAAACTGACAGGATGTGTCATAAGTCTTTTGATCACCACATGCCATGCCCAACAGCAGCTGATTGTTTCCAACAATGATCCATTATTTCTATTCTCTCACTGGGCTGAGCCATCATAAACAAACTCAAATTACAGGGACTTTTTAACACCTTGTCAAACTAAAGTTTGCCATAACTCTCTGGCTTTTGTACAACTGCTTTTCTAAGGGCAAAGTGACACTGAATGACTACAAGGGCTCTGTGCACAGAGAAAGCTTAAAGGTGACATAGACTGCTGGGACCTCATTGTTTTTTAGGGTAACCAAACAGCAAATAATTTTTTTGAAATAGGAATAAAGGTGCAAGAATCATATTTTCATGAAATTAAAAAAACAAAAAACAAAAAACAAAAAAACCCACTAATGATTCTTCCAAATTCGTAACAATGGGCAGCCCTGTTTTAATTATCAAAATTTTCCCTAATAAGTAAAAGCATTCATCAGATACAAAAATTAAAGCAGTGTAATACTGAAGGAAAATTTGCCTTCTGCTGTCTCCTTACCTCATGTGATCCAGACCGTCACCTGATATATGAAGAAAAAAATATAAATGTAATGAATGTAAAAACAAACACAAATCAGTAAAATGCACCAATAATAATGTGCAGTATTAACATATGAAACCAGACAATCTTTTCGTAATATACTACCAATTTTGGGGTTATTCTTGCTTAGATTTAAAATTGTCTGTCATGAATGTGATCTTGAATGTCCTGAAGATGAACCTATTAAGTTTCTGTCTAATTAAAGGATGAAAAATTGCCTTCTGTAGTAACTATTGTAACATATCAAGGTCTCAAAATGACCACATCACAAACCCTCAATACATGAGTTTCTCCCCATTTGCAAAACTTACCGATACATGAAACTCTTTTCAATCAATGGTCTTGATCAAACTTTTATTTTGAAAAATAGCTGGAGGAAGTCAATTACTCCCAAGTTCAAAAGTCATGAGCTGGGGTCCATGAACAATTAAATGTGTTTTTAAAAATAGCCCATAGCAGTCTTCTTTCTCAGCCCTCATAAAAACATCTTTTCAGTGTAATTCTTTTACAGATTATTTTGAGCTGTACACTGCAGTAGAGAAAACTTCAGTACAACAGATAACCAACTCACCTGTAGCTGCCCCATTATGTTGCATGTCACCACCTCCTTGAGAAAAAAATGTTACAAAATATGAATACAAAAATAACAGAGGAGATTGGTGACAATATGGAGAAAAAAATTGACTAAGGAAAAGAGAATAGTACTATTTCCAAATGTTATGTCCGCATAATATACATTCATATTTGTACAGTGCAAAATTATAAACTTAATATCTCAACTCGATGCAAATGGACAAATGTGTTAAAAAATTCATACATATGAAAATTATCACTACATGTAAAATAAGTTCTAGTACTGGTGCAATGCAAACAAAATAAACAACCTTCATTTGACTTTCTGAATCAAATAAGACGCTTTTATAGACACTCCTATCCAAAAGTTTTTTTAAATCAATGACAATGATGAAGATATCAGAATGAACCAACATAAAAGTCAAAGAAATAGAGGTAAATTTCGTCACCATAACTGTGGCAAACATAGAAAGATCTTTTAACCTTCTAACTTCTATCGTATTAATCAATAGATTTCACCCTACTAAGACATGTTATAGTTAAAACACTTTTTTACGCAGGTTTTGAATAAGAATATATCAAAGGTAACGCTCTATCATTTCCAGTACCTGCTTGCTGTAGCTGTTTGGCCCGAGCTTCACGTTTCGCTGCCTCTTTCACTGCTCCATACTCATCTTGAATTTTTGCAAGACATTTTACTTTTTCACTGGGTGGGAGGGAATATAATGTACAACGATAAAGATCAAAGATTCATGAGTTCAATCACCAACTCTTCGAGTCTAAAAGTGAAACTGAGTAAATAAAGAACATGAATCACTTACTCTAAATGAGACTCAAATTTTTTTATAAACTCTAGACCTGAGCAAAGAATCTATGCAGAAAAAGAACAGCTTTGTCAAAACGGAGAGCCATGAATTTTGTCTTCTGAATGTATCTACAAGGTAAGACAGTGCTTCGTTCAGGTTCCTGTGAATTGACAATTCAGTTTTAGCAACTGTAACATCTGACAAAACATTACAGGTATTTTTTCATTAAAGAGGAAAACACAATAAAAGCACAAAAATTATCACACACACACAAAATCTAAAACAATGTCCCGAACCTCTGATCATCTTTGAGAGGTGCGTTGCCCTGATCAGACAGGAACATGTCATGTGTCCGTTTCAGAGACCGGAACACAAGGGTGTGAACGGAATGCTTCTGTACCTCCTGTGACATTACAAGAAAGAAAAAGAATAAACAAATTTAATAAACAATAATTATAATTATAAATGATAAGATTTAATTGTAATTGTGTAGCCCATGTGAATATTGTACTCTGCTTCATGCTCTATGTGCTTTAAAATTATTACTACCCCAGCAGACCCTAGAATTTTCAGAAATATTCTTTGCATCCCAGGAAGCATATATATAGTGCAAGCAGTCGATCAAGCATTCAAACTCAAAGAAGATGACCAGATCGTCTACCATCCATAGCATTCCCCCTTTGGGGAAGTGAGGAAAATTTGTGTGAAGTGCTTTTCATAAGGAGACGTTGTCTAGCTCCTGAAGGGATTCAACCCGATAACCTTACAGTTGAGACTGAGAGACAGAGAGTAGAGTCTAACCATTAGACCACTAAATGCCATAAAAACACCTAGACTTTTGATCTTTTTTAGAAGTCATGTCAGACTATCAGGTATCCTTATCAATGTTAGAAGAAAGCATGAGAAACAGGTGGGAAGTCTTTTTTTTCTGATTTACATACATATATTAGCTATGATTGATTACTAATTAGGCCTAATTTCTTTAACACTTTTGTTATAATGACAAAGTGGTTGAACTAGGGCTAAACAAGCAGATTTCTCAAACCAACAAAAATTTCCAAATGATTCCTGAATGATACCAAAACAAAAACAAGGTTTTTGCCAGAGACCTTACCCAGACCTGCCAATCTATGAAACCTCAAAACCAGAATCTCAGGGGGAAAAAACTGGGATGGAGTGAAAAAAAAAATCAGGATCAACTGCAATTCACCAAGGTGACTGCCAGACTGACTTTCAGGGGAGTCCATACATATATATATAATATGCTTTTTGTGTGTGTTTGTGTGTGTGTGTGTGTGTGTCTGTGTGAGTGTGTGTGTATTATTTTTTTGATCCTGAAGCATCATGTCAAGCACTCATAGTCCATGTGTCTAACCCCCCCCCCCCCAAAAAAAAAAAAAAAAAAAAAAAAACAACCACCAAACCAATAAATCCCAAAAGACACTTCAACCAGTGTGCATAAACTTAAGTCGACCCCGTCAACGGATGGTCCCCGAAACACGCGGAACTCGCACTCCGAAGTCAAGTCACGTGATGCGAACCCTCGATTGAAACAGTCTTACTGACGGGCTCGGCATACCAGGGGCCATAGCGGGTCGGGCGGGTCCAGTCGATCCCCCGACTCGTCGCCTGAAAACAAACGTGATCGTTTTTGAGGTGACGAGTCGGGCACCATCAGCTTGTGCCATGATAGACCTCAATCTGGCAAGCAAACCGACCCGAGCCGATCCCCCAATGGGCACCCAAACACTCGGACAAGCGACAGTCGTTCTAGAGTAACGACAACAGCCGACCGACCAAATATACCAACAAACCTCTTATCCCTTCATTGCGTTCAGACAGAAGCGACGACAACGGTCGAGTATTATTTTAGTCTGAGCAGTTAGTTGTGTAGGGGTTAGAACTATTGTCGCTCGTCCGAGAGTTTGATGTGAACACGCGGTTACTAGACCCCAGACAAAGCTTATTTTCAAAGTAACAGTAGAACTATACGAATATTATGGATTATTTGTATGTCGCAATTGTAACAGTTATAAGGCTATCATCGTAGAATTCTGAGTGCATAATATTCGAAGAGACACTCTGACTCCTCCTTGCGGGGGAGGCAGAGTGTTTCCTAGGTTGCCGTCCTGGATTGGACGGTGGTCTAGTGGGGGATTTGGATGAGTGACAGACTCCGCCCTTGCCGGGGTCAGGCCGGGGAGGGGGTCGGAGATGTCATCCTCCATTGGTAGTGGGGGGGGGGGGGAATGGAGGGGGAGGTGGAGCAGACAGAGGGGGCTGGGAAGGGTGCTGGGGAGTGGGGGGAGGGAATACCTCACACCCCATCAGAGAGATGGGTTATTCTAATCTTTCGGGCACACAACATGTTACAATGCCAATGGTTAAATGATAAAGAATTATGACTTTGTGCGTAATTTTAATAACCCAGAATTAGAGCTTGTATGCCAGTAATCCTGAAAAGGCCAAATTTAAATACAAATAGATCTAGATCTAACTTCTACATCTAGAGATAACTAGTGATGGAAGATTTCAAAAGTGACACTGATGATGATGATCTAGCAGTGATAAAAAATTTTTAGATAATGAATCACTAAGAAAAGTCCCTCATGTGTTCATTACAGAAACAAAGATCTGAACGAAATCATGGGACGACCAAGAAAGACTGGAGAAAAGGAGACAAAAACTCCCAAAAGAGACAAAAAGTTACACGACCCAAAAATGATTCTGCAGGCAATTGAAAGTGTAAAAACAGGTCAAAGGACTCAAAGACATGCTGCTAAAACATTTAATATTCTATTTTCCACTCTTAACGACAAAATAGTGGGCAAGACACCTCTGGCGCTTATAAAGGTGTGCCTTCTTTTTCTTGAAGAAGAGGACAAACTAGTAAAGTTTACATTGGACCGGGCTAAAAGTGGATTCGGCCTGATGACTAATGATATTCGGAGAACTGCCCAAGCCATCATCGATTTGCGGCAGTCACCAGAGAAAGACAACAGGAACGTAAACATGCCATCTGTGGCCTGGGTGTACCGGCTGTTTGAGAGACACCCTAAGCTCACCCTGAGGTTGACCAGGGGCCTTGGGAAGGAACGGGCGACAGTGACACGCCAGGCCATATCGAAATGGTTCAAGGAGCTGAGAGAACATATATCGTGGCCATGGACCCTACTCTTCTGGAGGATGGAAGCCGCATTTACAACGCTGATGAGAGCGGCTTTGCCTTTGACGTCAAAGGCAGGAAGGTGGCAGCATTCAAGGAAACCAAGCATGTGTATAATCTGACGTCGAACACGAAGACAATGGCAATGATGGCATTGAAGCTTTATCCGGGCCTAGGCCTGTCTACCCCTTATCGAGGAAGTGGACTCAACCAATACGCCAAGGGCGAACAAATCCTGGCAAGTAATAGGGGTGGTACTTCCCACCCCTTATCGAAGAAATGGACTCAACCAATCCGCCTAAGACGAGCAAGTCCAAGCAAGTAGTAGGGGTGGTAGGTGTATTTGAATTCAAACAAACTAAAAACACTAAATTAATAAGAAACATGCTAATTTTTAGCATTTCTTTAGACATTGGTTCACTGAGTCTTTACTCAATGTTTGTAGATCTACTGTGCGTTAAAATAATTGTATCTTTTGATTCAGGGATAGATCTATTTTGCTAGGTCACGCAAGACTTGAACTTGCTCAGTTCTAAATACTTGGTCTCAAACACTACTTGATGGGCACGAGAATTTCAAGTCTGAAATCCAAGTCCAAGTCCTTCCCAGGCCTAACCAGTATTCTCGGGCAAGGCAGACGGGAGATAGAGAGGCTTTAAGACGACATAGCCATTTTCGTCCAAATTTTGACCGAAAGGTAATATTATTACTCTAGATCTCGATGTAGATCTAGGCTCAAATAAGGGATGTGGGAACTACCGAAAAAGCACCGATAGATCTACCGAATATTTAGGCCTCTTTGAACATCCAACCAAACCACCACGTTCCGGCAGGTGGTCTGCTAATCTTCAATTTTACCAATATTTAAATCAGTATCGATATCTAGTACTCTGTGTGGATAATGCCAAGTCTAAACAGACGGGACCCAGATTCTTTAAGTCAAGTTGTACCGAAACGTCATTCCCATTCATGATTCTAGAATTATTATCGATACCGAAGTGTATACAGACCCGGTAACCGGGAACAAAGTCGCGAAGTATACAGACCCGGTAGGGATATTCTTTTGTAATTTCGGAAAGTTTCAGCGCCCAGACCCGGTAGTGTGTGTGTGTGTGTGTGTGTGTGTGTGTGTGTGTGTGTGTGTGTGTGTGTGTGTGTGTGTGTGTGTGTGTGTGTGTGTGAGAGAGAGAGAGAGAGAGAGAGAGAGAGAGAGAGAGAGAGAGAGAGAGAGAGAGAGAGAGAGAGAGAGAGAGAAGGGGGAAGTGCTAGCCAAATGTATGACATGCCCCAGTTGGCAGGAGGGAACGAGCGAAAGATAGAGTGGGAAATAGGTGGGGAGAAAGAAAGACAGAGACAAACAAAGAAAAAGCACGGCATACAAACATCGCTCTTTTAGTTGGCTCGGCGATGTAGTGACCGGGTCACGGTGGGCCGGTCACCCAGAGGTCACTAACCCGACCTCCCGCTACCTGCGTCGGTAGCCGGTGAAATGAATTTTTCAACACATGTTTTATCGTCTTACACAAACCAAAAATATCATACATTAACAGGGGCGAAGGCTGACTTGTTTGACAGAGTAATCAAAGTTAAACGGAACCAGATATTATGGCCTGGAGATATCACACAAGAATCTTACTCGTGGCGGCGACTCTTAACTCTTAAGTTGTGTGAATGAAAACAAATCCGGAATTCAACCGCCAAAATAATCCGGAAAGTATCTCATTAAATATCAATTCCAATTAAAATTAAATTTAAATTTAGAAGTGAATACACAAACCCAAAGCAAGGAAGCAGAGATGTAAGTACTAGATCTATAATATGTTATAGAGATACCAAGGAGTCTAACTCCTTGGTAGAATATGACAATTATCATTTTTTTTACAATTTTACTTTTGTCTGTTTTTGTCTAGCTTTTCGTGGCCAGGAGTCGGTGTCATAATCGAGGTCACGATCTGATTATAGGACGTTAAAAAGTCGAGGAAAAAAAACAAGCACTCGCAGCAGTAAAGAGATGATTAGGAGCTAGTTCCCCTCATATATGTAAGGTAGACTCGACCAGTGTAATAGTTCACTTACATAATTAGGGCTTACGACTGATTATAACTGTGACCCGAAAGGGGTGAACAGGGTATATATGTGGCAATGAAACAGTATTGACTGCTATGCACGTATTCCGTTCAACTCTATAGGTAGACTCTTCCAGCCCCACTTTAAGCTTATTTAATCAAAGCTTGTGA